GCCATCGCTAGTAGCTTTTTCTCTTAAGTCTTTTTCTGCCACATGTCTAGGGCGTGAACGACAAAGTGAGGAAAAGCCTGAAAAGTTCTCAAGGTTCACAGGAATCTACGAATTGACAGCAACACAGCCTGAATGTGTCCAATGTGTCCAATGGCAACCGCATTGAGAATGGCAAGGGCAGTGCCAAGCACGGACTCTAAGCACAGGAAACTAGTCTCCTGAAAAAGAGAATCAATTATTATCTTCTCTAAGGGCAAAACCGATGTCACACATTGCTTTAAGCTTTCTCAAGCTTCCTTAAGTTTCTTAGATAATGCCTCCAAACCAATCACAATTCAATGGCCTCCAACCTAAGAGGATAGAATTCTGAAGGAAAAATGCCCTGAGTAGCGTCCTTTGCTCCTAGTAGCGATGCCCTTTGCTCCTAGTAGCTTCCTAATTCTAATTAGATTCTAATTAATGTTGAGTCTAAATCCATTGAATTATTGTTTCTAATAGCTTCTTACTAGTATGGCCAGGAGCCCCGTTCGTAGCATCCTTAGGAAAACTGTTTTCCAAGCTCGGTCTCAATCCCTCGTCCTCCAGCGAGCAGCCGGAGCAGAAAAGGGACATGATCGCGGCCGTCGGAAGGAGTGGTTGGACCTGTGAAACGGCAGTCCGAAGGCGATCAAAACGCTTTATTTGTGTTGTTTTTCTAAGGGTGGAACCATGTTTTCAAACAAACTCGTTAAAGCTTCCGACATACACAGATCAAGCAGAATGGAAAGCATTGTCATAGAGTTCTCTCCTCCAAGGAAAAGCATTGTCGTAGAGGTGGAACGAGGAAGAGGCCACTGGCCAGGCAGCAGCCAAGCGCAGTGCCTCACTTGCAAAAACGAAATGTCCTTTTTCGAGCTTGGAAAACGAATTTCTCTTTCTATATCCTAGTAGCTTCTTGTTTTTAGTAGCAAGGCCAGGAGCCCCTAGTAGCGTTCTTGCTACTAGTAGCGATGCCCTCTTCGTTTTGTTCCTTTCTTCTCACTTGTTCCTAGTAGCGATGCACTCGTTACTACTAGTAAGGCACCTGTTACTAGTAGCGTGGCACTTGTTCCTAGTAGCGAACATTGTTACTAATAGTCCTTGGATGTGAAAGAACAGGAAGAAAAAGTCTTTCACTCCCAAAGGGTCCAAAAAGTCTTTCTGTCGTCTTTCGTCTCTCCTTCTCTTTCGTCTCTGTGTCTTTTCTCATTTCTTTTCCAAATCTGTTCTTTTGAGCATCCTTCTTAGCAACTTTCTTTTGCTTATCTCATGAACTTCACAGCACGGCACGCAGGGCATGGCTCGCTGGCCGAGAGAGCATTAGAGGCCATCATGAGGACCGCACCGCAACTGCCCAAAGTCGTCTTCAACATTCTAATTCTTGTTTCTACTAGCTTCCTTGTTAGTACTAGTAAGGCACTTGTTACTAGAAGCGATGCACTTGTTCCTAGTAGCTTCTTGTTACACCCATGAAAACCAACCATGATTTTAAAGCTATATGTTTGTAATATCGCGAAACAACAAACTTTATTATGTGTGCCGTGTGCCAACCACGAAGAAAAACAAACTTAGGAAAGAATGTCTTAAGCATCCGTGTTGCCAATGCTTGCCTCCAAACCAATATTGCTATCCCGTTTCAATGTTCTATTCTCTCTAAAACTCCATGATTTGTGTCTTGTTGCAGGGAGTTCTCGTAAGTGTCTTTAACAAACACTGGCATAGAGCTCCAATGGGATTCCAAAAATTGCCGAGTTGGAGGCCACTGCTATTAGGTTCGAGGCCACTGCTATTAGGTTGTACAAAAAAAGGTCTAAAGTGCGTGTTGAATTCAGATCTTACTGTTCGCACTGACGGCATCTCAATGTCAGAACAGTCAACACAATGTGCTGAAGCCGGATAACGCGCGCGTAAAGGCAAACACTAGGAACAAGTGCATCGCTAGTAGTAACAAGTGCCTTACTAGTAGTAACAAGGAAGCTATTAGAAACAATAAGCTACTAGGAAGCTATTAGAAACAACTGTGAAGACTGTTTTGCTTTATCGGCGCAAACGCTGGCACTCTCAGTCACTCTCATTTTGCAATCAAGATCGATTGGCTCCCACTCTATATCATCTCAAACTGGCTTGATCCGGAAGTGCAGACCGATCAGGCTGAACACAAAGCACTTCAGATCCTACGCGAATCCCGAATACGCAAAAGAAATGATGATTGAAACGCTACTAGTAGCGTCTTGTTGATACTAGTAAGGCACTTGTTCCTAGTAGCGATGCACTTGTTCCTAGTAGCGATGCATTTGTTACTACTAGTAAGGCACTTGTTCCTAGTAGCGATGCACTTGTTCCTAGTAGCGATGCACTTGTTCCTAGTAGCGATGCATTTGTTACTACTAGTAAGGCACTTGTTCCTAGTAGCGATGCACTTGTTACTACTAGTAAGGCACTTGTTCCTAGTAGCAATGCATTTGTTCCTAGTAGCGATGCACTTGTTCCTAGTAGCGATGCACTTGTTACTACTAGTAAGGCACTTGTTCCTAGTAGCGATGCACTTGTTCCTAGTAGCGATGCACT